GTTTGCACTCTGAAGCATCCCCCCCCCCGCCCCGCTGTATTTTAGGGCGTCCCCAGCTCGGCGCTGCGGGAGATCTGCCTTCTGAAGGAGCTCAAACACAAGAACATTGTGCGGTGAGTTTCCGGGGAGGGGGCTTCAAGGCGGCCCCCCATTGGGGAGAAGGCTCGGCCTAGCGGGATCAGGCCCCGGGACGACCAAGGGGGTGGAGCTGCTCTCTGAGCCCCCCCCCCCGCCCCACAGTCCGAAACAGAGCCTGGTGGGTGGGAGGGTGGGTGGGGGTCTTGCCACTTGGACCTTCTATCCCACCCGATGGGCAGCGGGCAAAGTGACCCTTTGAGAGGGGTGGGCTTCAAAGGGCTGGTGGGGAGGTGGGCAGAGGGAGCATCCAAGCAGGACTCCACTCCCCTGGGAGGGCCTGGGACCCACTATTTTCTCGGGGTCCCGTGTTTTCAGCCCCACTTCTTTGTGAAAGTCTCGTGTTCAGAGGGGGAGGGGGTGCTGGCGATGCCCCCCCACCCAGACTACCCCCCTCTCCCCTTCCAGCTTGCATGATGTCCTGCACAGCGACAAGAAGCTGACGTTGGTTTTCGAATTCTGCGACCAAGTAAGGCGATGGGCGTAAGAGGAAACAACACCCCCCCCCCCAATCTTCCTTCTGCCTCGGATGCGAATCTCCTCCGATTGGGGGTCTGGGCCCTCACGGAGACGAAAGAGCCCCCCGCACCCTCCACAGCCAGCGCCCCACCTTCTCCTGTGCCTCGTCCCTCTCCCCACTGCCCTGCACCCCCACCCACAAGGCTGACCCACCCCAAAGGGGCTGGGAGGAAAGGGGGAGGCTGCCTTCTTGTGTTTCTGGGAGGGGGGAGCGGACAGTGTTGATTGCCGCTAAACAGAACGGTCAGTCCTCGACTTACGATCGTGATATTTCTGTCGCTAAGTGAGACATTTGCGAAGTAGGTTTCACCCCTTTATGCCCTTTCCTGCCGCCGTTGTTAAGCGAATTCCCATGATGGATCAAACTCAGGGACCCGGTTGTTAAGCGAATCGGGCTTCCTCCTCTTCTGAAGGTTACTGAAGTGGAATCGCTCCCCGGCGACCGTCGTTATATGAACCGGGTGGCCGTGAGTTTTGCTCACGGGGACGCCCTGATGGTCCTAATGGTCCTCATTTTTTTCAACACCCTTGGCATGTTCAACGGTCCCTGTCGTAACTCGAGGACTTTCGTTTCCCTGCGAACGGACGCAACCCCAACCGGCCCAGCTCCCTTTTCCTGGTCCCCACTTGTGAGCACCCCTAAATTCCACCCCTCTACTTAGAATGGAAGGAGGGGGGGTGAAGGGGCTGGATCCCCCCCCTCCGCTGATCCTGCCCCCCCCCCCGTTGCAGGACCTGAAGAAGTATTTCGACAGCTGCAACGGCGATTTGGACTCGGAGATTGTGAAGGTAAGACGGACGGACGGTGTTTGGGACTGGCGGGGGGCTTTGGTGGGACTGACGGCGACTCTGCCTCCCCTCCCACCCAGTCCTTCATGTACCAGCTGCTGAAGGGCCTCGGCTTCTGCCACAGCCGCAACGTCCTGCACCGGGACCTCAAGCCCCAGAACCTCCTCATCAACCGGGTGAGTTTGGTCTTTTAGTCCTCCCGCCCCCAGGATTCGGTTGAGGGGTGGGCACTGCCGTTCCACCCCCCCTGGAATTGCCTTGAGGGGATCCCTGCGGCCACTGGACGGCTGGCATTTGGGCAAAGATTGCCACTCGTGCCAGGAAGGCTCCCTCTGGTGGGTGCCAGTGTGCATGGGGCAGAATTGGCACCAAAATCTGGAGGTCCCATCCCCCCATCCCAACCTCTCCCTGGGTTGCTACCGGTTCGCACCGGTTCAGGTCAGCCGGTAGTGGTCTGTTGGCCTGGGTGGCAGAACCGGCAGTGATACAGGCTGGCCACGCCCCTGAACTGCTTCCCTGGTCGCTGCTGGCATGGCTGCCGTGGTTTTTAGTCCTTTTAAAATGAACTGCGCATGCGCAGAACAATTTAAAGGCAACTGCACATGCGAAGCCAGTATCGAACCCCTGGGGCTCCCCCCCCCCACTGTCCAATTTGGGAAGGGAGACCCTCTTCCTGGCGGGAACCTCCCAAATCCATGGACCAAATCCATCCTTGTGTCAAGGCTTCTCCCACTTAGCCGAATCGCTGGGCATTTGGGGAGGGGGTCACTCCTCCCCCCCAATGGGGAGCCAGAAGGGGGTTCCTGCGTTTCCCCCCCTCCTAACTGATTTTTTTCCCTTGGGGGCAGAATGGGGAGCTGAAGCTGGCAGATTTCGGGCTGGCCCGGGCCTTTGGCATCCCGGTGCGCTGTTATTCGGCGGAGGTGAGCAAAGCCCTTGGCAGAGAAGGGAGGGTGTCCCCCCCCCAGTGGTACTCTTGCACCCCCCAAGAAGGAAGTCTCCCCCGCAGCAATTCCCCCCCCCCCCCCGAAGGTTTTGGCCTCCCGTGGCTGCTCTGGGAGAAAGGGAGGAGGGAGGGAATGCGCCACGTGGCCCCCACCCCTCCGCAGCCCTCCTCCTCCGCCACGGAGCGTCAAGGGAGGGAGAAGTCGGTGAAGTACGGATGCTGTAGGGCGTCTTCGGCCGAAATCCGGTGCACGGGGTTGC